TTCGCTGTCACAAAAAGATGCTGCTTTTCATTTGGGCGATTTACCAGGGATGCAGCAGTGGGTAACTGTCTGAATGAATAATGAAAACATGAGAAAAGGAAATATAAATGTTACCATTTTACTGAAAAATATAGGTATCCTAGTAAGCTAGTTTAGAAAGTTAATCATGAGTAAAAAGTCATTACATGTTATATTTAAAAAGTTATTTAGCTTCACTATTTAGAAGTAAATCATTCATAAAAAAATTAAAACAATTTTGTTCAAGCTACCTTAATCTAAAATACACAGTTGAACAATATTAACCTTACTCATTAATATCAGAAAGACCCATTGAAAATTACTGAATTTTGCAAATCGGTTTACTAAGGAACTTGGCATCTGTTGGATGTAACCACTACATACATGGAACAGTTCTGAGTTATCTTAATAGTCTTTGGTTGGACACAGTCATTTTCTCTAATTGAAATGATATTATCTGAAAACACAATTCTGTTAGGTGCTGGGTATTGTCTTCAGTGCATACAAAGCAGTTCACAGGATCAGGCACTTAGGATGAAATTCAGTCCTTTGCAGAGAGCTATTCCAAGGTCTATGCATCTTACAAGTGTCATTTAAGTTCTCAAAACTAAGTGGGATTTAAGAGGGTCATAGGTTTTCTGCTGTGCATGGAAATGAATTTCACCCTCAGAGAATAAACACAATTAACATGCAACAATATTGCATAAAGAAATACACTTTATTTATTCTGACAACTGTAATTCAATTTTAATTATTGATAATACTTGACATTATGTGGGTAAACATACTGTGAAAATAATGAAATTTTAAATATAGCACTCTGCTGTAATGGGGAATTGCAAAGCAAAAATGGAAACTAAGTTATGCTAAGGCCTTGATCCTACAAATTTTAAAACATGTGCTCCATGTAACTTGTATGCCTAAAGTTGTGTGATTATAAAAATGTTCATCAGCATCAGAGTCTAAATGACTATGGAAACAGCATGCATTTAGCACAGAACTTTGTTTTAACAATCCTTTGGGGGTTTTTTTTCCATTTTGGGAAATATTTTTAGTATATTCCAATTTGCTGCCACTGTCATAGAATCTGACATCACCAAAGCCATTCATCCCATAATATTTGTGATGTCACAGACTGATGCATTCTGAGATCCTGCCAAATAACACAAAGAACAGTTAACGGTTTGCATTAACCAATTAAAAAAACTTAAAATTTTGTTTTCTAACAGCTTTTGACAGTGCAGTGAATAGAGGAGATAATGTAGCATATATTTCTGGATGTAAGGTGGTGTTTGATTTTGTAGATTACCTTTGCTGAGAAGTGGGTATTGACAGCTATTTCTCTGTGTGAATTATACGTATATGGATACGTATTAGTGAGGTTTGGCTACTACAATTACTAAGCAGTTGCCACACACAATTATAACTCTCATTTTATTTGTATTCAGTTTTGTCTCAATCAGTTTGTCAGCTGCTGTATACATTCCAATCATATTTATTCTAGTATCTGTGACTAATACAGTAGGTTTCCCTTTTCTATTTTATGGCCATTCAAAGCAATGAGCTATAAAGGGTGTGCTAGCAACTCCTATTGAAGCTAAAGCAGCTGAGGGCTTTCAGTAGCTCTGTTGAGTTGTTCAGAAACATTACAGAATTAAACTATGCTAAGGTTTTATGAAAGACACGGGGGTGTCACTGTTTTCCATATTATACTCGGTTATATGATCTCTAATTGTCAGAGGACCTTGGGTTCCTCCTTTATGTACACTTTTTATGTCCATGAGATTTGGGTCTGCAATTTACAGCTGGAGTTGGAAACAGTCCAAGCCTTTTGTAGGAACACACAAACGAATGGGAGGATAAAGGTGTTGGCTGATATACATGATTGATTCAGAAATTCAGACTAAAAGGGACCTTTGTGATCTTATAGACTCACTTCCTTCATAACACAGGCCACGGAGCTTTCCCCAAAATAATTCCTACAGCATTTTAGACTTTGCAAATAGTATGCTATTATTTATAATAGGATAATACCAGAGGACCTCAACCACGATCCAATCCCCATTGTGGTGGATGCTGCAACACATACACTAACCAGACAGTCTCTGTCCCCAAAGAACATCCTGGCTACACTGTTAGGCAAAATATTTAGCAAAACTCATTCAAGTCATTGATGAGCTATATTGCCTCTTGATTACTCTAAATTCTAATCTAGGGTCTGAGTAGAGAGAAATGTTGTCTATAATTTAACTTTAATATGAATCTATAAACAATTCAGAGTACATTACGTTAGTAGAGCTTACTAACAATTTTACTGGAATTGAAGACTTGGGTTGGCCACATCAAAATATGAGTGAGAATTTCATTAAAAGACTTAAAAAACAACCAATAGTCTGGTAGCACTTTAAAGACTAACAAAACATGTAGATGGTATCATGAGCTTTTGTGGGCACAGGCCACTGCTTCAAATGACTGGAGTGTTGTCTCACTTCCCTGTCCCAAGCTGTGGAATTGAACTCTCACATAAATAAAAGACCATCACAACCCTATCCACACTTCAATCTAAGTTCAAGGTGCATTTCATAGGCCTTGCCTTCTTTGACATAAACATGTAGCAATGGCTTTGTGTATGGTATTTTTAAAATAACTGCAAAACAAAACACTCTATGTTACATACTCTTCCTTTATGGTGAGAGAAAAAGCCACAGTGTGCAATAGTAGTATTACTGAATGCATTACTGAAAGGTACTCAGATACTACAGTGGTGAGTGCAGCATTGAAATCTGTATTGAATAGACAGAAACAGATTGTTCTTTTCTCCTTGAAATGGATGAACAGCACTCATCTACAGCTCCCCTTCTTGACTAATGCAGTGAGAGCTCCCCGTCTCCTTTCAAAGCCATGTGGCCTTGCAGAAAGAAACCAGCCAGAGATTCTAGCCAGTAGGAATGCCTACAAAAACAGCCAAAGCAGGGACATGGGAATAGTCAGTAAGCTCTCTAAAGTTTTGACTGGACTTTCTATGACCTGTCCTTTTTTATTCCAGCCCTCTTTCTTCTCCTCAGCTTCACTCAGTACCAGCCCCTCACACCTTCTTCTTCTCTGTCCTTTTTCCTGCAGTGTATTTCTCCCTTCCCTTTTCTTTCCATTTAGCAAATCTCTTCTGAAATACTGTAAACCCACCTTAAAATTGTGGAACTAACATAACATTTGCCATCATCACATTCACTTTGCTCTTATGTTTTATTCCTGCTTCCCCCTTGGCACTGTTTTTGTCTGTCTATAGTATAAGCTCTTTGGGACAGGAACTGCTTGATATTCTGTGTCTGAACAGTACCTAGCAATATGTGACGCTGTTCTTGACTAGTCCTTATGCACTTCTATATAGGATTGCCAGATGGTTTCAACAAAAATACGGGACACACTTGACATTACATCACAATCTACATTACATCATATTTAGAAAATACTGGACATTTATATTTCCTCATTTATATTTTCTCAATTAGTTTCCCAAACAGAAAGCTCAAATACTGAGTGTCGGGTTCAAAACCGGACGCCTGGCAACCTTACTTCTATAATTATTATTGTTTATTACCAGGGCTCGACAAAATAATGCAATCTACTCGCCTCTGGCGAGTAGATTGCAACCCGCAAGAGCCAGGTTCGGGTGATCTGCACATGTGCAGAACAATCTGCGCACGCACAGATCACCAGACAGCACGGCTGGCGGTTCGGCGAGCCCTGTTTATTACTATTATTATTTATTATTTATTTATTTTAATTTTATTTTATTACTACTACTACTACAAAGGGGTAATATAATATCTTTATTGTTGGTGAAAGAGTCAAGCTTTTGAACTTAAGCTGAGTTCTGAAGAAGAGTTACACAGAATTTCACATAGTTTAAAAACTTATCTTTTTCCTAACAAAAGTTAGATTAGTAAAAGATACTACTGCTCCCACCTTGTGTGTCTCATATTGTGGGACTGGCACAATTGCAACAACTCTTAAAACAACATTAGTTACTATATATTTGAGAGAGTTTGTTCATCTAACTGTGTCCATCCATACATTTTTGTGAGTGTGTTGTTCAATAACTCCTCCTAAATGTTAAGAGCTAGGACCTCCAAATTTGGCATGCAACTTCCTCTTATCATTAGTTAAAGCAAGGAATGGGTTTGGTTGTGCCAGGTCAATGGGATGTGTATGGAATGTGATTGTTTCTAATCAAAACTGAAAGGGAAGGCAGTGATAGCAGGCACAGTTATATTGCTGAATGACCACAGGGGGTAGCAAGCATCCCAGCGCTGGGGAGCAACTGCTGCTATACTCCACCCTGTGCCCTGAGCCCTCCCCCCCCACACCTCCCAACCCCCTGGCCTGACTCCTGCACACCAACCTCCTGCCCTGAGCCCCCCATACCTTGCCCTGAGCCCTTCCTCATCGCCCAACCCAACTCGTGCATTCCCCATATTCCCAGCCCCCTTCCTTGAGCCCCACCTCATCCCGCGACCCTGTCTTCTGCCCCTCCACACTCCCAGACCCCTGCCCTGAGCCTCCCACATTGCAAGCTCCTACGCTAACTCCTGCTCCCCTACAACTCCAACCCCCTGCCCTGAAAGACCCAAGCAATGCCAGGTAAATCTTCTAGTTATTAATATTTTAACCATTGCTCCTCCCATTATATTTCATATACTTCAGGAATTCATGCCGTTCATAACTTACCTCTGTCAATTTTTTCTTTCATTTAACCAGAACTCTGTTTTGTGTTATTGTTATAATTTAAATTTTGTTTTTATTATATAATTGGTTGGCACAGCAGGCAAAGTATATAATTTTATAAATTGCCTGGGGCTGTCTCTGGCATAGCGTATGGTTGCATTATCTGTTGATGAAATTGGCACCTCTAAAGAGAGTTCAGAGGGAAATGACACACAAGCCTACCTGCCAACTCTGTTTGGTTTTTTTCTCTTCCACAGCACGAATTATCAAAACAAAACAGTGGTGTGAAATGCTTCCATGTTTAGAAGGAGAAGGCTGTGATTTGCTAATCAATAAATCAGGCTGGACCTGTACACAACCAGGTGGGCGAATAAAGACAACCACGGTAAGCTCTTCTCTTTCTTACATCCCTTTTATTCCAAAGAACAAAGGGTGAAACTTCAAATTTAGATGAAGCATAGGTTTTTAAAGTTAGATGCCAGTTAGTGTACTGGTCACATAAACACATTCCTAGATACACACGTGTACTTTCATACCTGTGCTCTCAGAAAGGGGAAGTGAGGCAGAGTACTGAAAGGATGTAAATTGTCAAACTTTGACGTTTTAAAAGGGACCAAAAATGCAATCAGTTATGATTGTCTCTTCATCTTTATTTCACCCTAGTGTGTATTCCTCACTGTTGGTAGAATTAGGATATAAACTTCACACTACTGAGCTAATAGGGTAAAAATGGTTTTTAAACAAAAGTAGTGTTGGCTTTTTCCATCTAATAAAAAGACAGCTTTCAAAGACAAATATCCATCTTCCCAGAGGAAAATTTGCATGAGTATGAAATAACAAATAAAACCCTTCTTTTAGGGTCATCAGGACTTTGGTTCTAACTTGTCCATACCATACTTTTCAACTCCTTGGTGTTGTCTTCTGTAGTGTTTCGGATTTGTTTGGAGAAGATATATTGAGGCTGAATATGCCTGCAACAGTGATGACTACTAGCACTTATAGCATCAAACATCTGTCTGTGGGACATTCTACAAACCAACTGAAGACTAGTGCTCCAGAAATTGAAAACATCCCAAGAGATATGGTAGAATATGATAGGTTGCTAGTCTATCAAGAATATTTTCTATTAGTTTATGGGCTCTCAAGTGACTTTTAAGTAAATTACATTTCAAGGATGTTTTATTATAAAGATTTACTTCAAAACCTGCCTTATGCTTAATCTCAGTGTGCTTCAAATAAGTGAGGTTTAGCAGGTTAGGATTTAGGCCTATCAGATCCTCTGCATTCTGAGTACTGCAAACATTTTAGTGTTTTTTACAGTGTCAAAAAATCAACATACCTTCACTTTTTTTTTTTTTGGCCAGTCTTTCAGGGTAACATTTATTGTCAACTAACATCCTGTGAATTTTTTATTGTTCTAATGTTAAAGATCCCATGCCATTCTGACATCCCTATAGTTACACAACATAGCAAAGTACATTGTGGACACTGATGCAAATTTACCTCTTAATCTCCAAACCAGAGATTTAATTATTTAATCTTTAAGACATTTGAGTGTAATTTATGTAATGGTGATGTCTAATATATGAAGGAGAATGTTTGTATGTTTGTGCTCTAATAACTTGGGGTATGTCTACACTACAGCACTAATTCAAACTAACTTAATTGGAATTAGTTAATTCGAACTAAGCTAATTCGAACTAGTGCATCTAGACCCGTGGTCACCAACCAGTAGATCGCGAGCTACCGATAGATCTCAGGGGCTCTAAGAATAGTGATAGAGTAGCTCTTGAGCCCTCTCTGAACTGCGTGCCTGCACAGTACATTTACATTAGATTTCCTCATTTGAGGAGCAGCTACTCACTGAGCAACAACACAGGTGAGTAGCTGCGAGGAATGGTGGGAGCTGGGAGGTTGGAAGGGCTGAAACACCCCAGCCAGCTGACTGTGGCTTTCAGCTGAAAGAGGCTGCCCCGCACTCCAGCTGATCAGTGGCTTTCCCTCTGCGCCTGCCCACATGGAGCTTGGTGCACCCTGTCTGAGCACCATGGCCAGCTGGCTGGAAGCCGCTTCTCTTTGTTCCCACCCGGCTGCCCTGCACTCAGCCTCCAAACCTGTTCCCCTCGCTCGTGGCTCCCTGTTCCCTCTCCCTTGCCCCACCACCCCACTGCAGAAACCTGCCCCCCCTGCAGAAACCAGTTCCCTCTGGCACCCTGTCTCCTACTGCAGAAACCTGTCCCCCCCAGCACCCTGTATCCTGCTGCACCCTACCCTCTCTCCCCTGTCCCCACTGGCAACCTGTTCCCTGCCCCAGAACCAACTAGCACCCTTCCCCAGTACTGTGTCCCTGCTCCCAAATTACTTTTCTATGGGTCAGTGACCTCTGACTTAAGGCAGGTTCCCTGCCATTCTCATAAATAAAGACAATGCAGAAACTTTTTGTGTTTAACATAGTATTTTATTTAAAAATGAAGCCTGGCCAACAAACCCCCAATTGGGGCCAATCCCCCATCTGGCCACAACCACTCCTGCATCCCCCCTTCCCCAGACTCTAGATCTGAGCCTATCAAACACTGGAACCCCCTGCCCTGAGCCCCTCACATAATCCAACCCAAATTCCTGTACCCTCATATCCACAAGCCTGTGCTTAGTATCCCAACACTGCCCAGCCTGGAGCCCCTTCCCCGAGCCAGTGTCCCCTTCTCCACCTCCTCCTGCATCCAGATTTCCTCCCAGAGCTTGCACCTCTCACCCCTTCCCACACCCAAATCCCTCATTCCCACCCCAGAGACTACACAGTCTCAACACAGCAAGGGTCCAGCTAGACTGCAGGAGTTTTTCAGGATTCTGGAGATATCCCAGAAAAACTCTTCTGCATCCAGGGTTGCGTTTGTTCTTCCGCTTTTTTAGTGGAAGAGCAAACTTGCTCTTTCGGTCACCCCTATATTCCTCTTTCCACAAGGAATAAGGTGGCCTCCAAAAGAAGGGGTTTTTTTCTGACATTTGGTCCAGTCTAGACAGGCCAAATGTTGGAAAAACCTCTTCCTACAGAATAAATTAAAAAAAAAACAGTATAAGGATTGGGGAGAGCAAGTGATGAAGAGGAGGAGAATAGAGAGGGTGGGGCTTCAAGGAAGGGGGGGGGGGGTGGTTCTTCCAGTCTAGACAGGCCAAATGTTGGAAAAACCTCTTCCTACAGAATAAATTAAAAAAAAAACAGTATAAGGATTGGGGAGAGCAAGTGATGAAGAGGAGGAGAATAGAGAGGGTGGGGCTTCAAGGAAGGGGTGGGGTGGTAGATCTTGGCTTGGTCTGTCATTTAAAAAGTGATCTTGGGTGTAAAAAGGTTGGAGACCACTGATCTAGACCTAAAAACTAGTTAGAATTAGTGTTTTGCTAATTCGAACTAGCACGTCCACATTGAGTGGACCCTGAACCGAAGTTAAGGCTGGCCAGAAGCAGTACCGGCAGGGCATCAGAGGAGGACTTAGAGCGTGGAGATGCTGTCTCAGGCTAACCGAGCGCTGTGCTTAAAGGGACCCGACCCCCACCCCGGACAGACAGTTCTCAGGGTTCCCTGCTTGCTTGTCTATCTCGATGAGGGACAGCAAAGCAGTCCTGTCTTATGCTCTCTTTCGAAGAAGCCCTATTTACATTCAAGAACGCCTTCTTTCGAAAGAGGAACTTTCGAAAGAAGGCGTTCTTCCTCGTGCAATGAGGTTTACCGCTGTCGAAAGAAAAGCCACGTTCCTTCGATTTAATTTCGAAAGAACGCGGCTGCAGTCTAGACGCAGGTGAAGTTTTTTCGAAAAAAGGCTACTTTTTTCGAAAAA